AAACCGGATATATTCCCCTCACTGTCAAATGATTACACAGTGATATCTGCATTACTCATCCACTAAAAAACATCAGTTTATCCTTGTTAATCACACAATATTGATTGGTTTAAATTGTGTACAATGCTTTTGTATTTTTAACCTTCGATTCAGAGAAACAAATAGTTTTTTTGGAGTTAAGACACTACAGTTTCCGAAGACACTACACTACCCAGAATCCCCAGCTATCGTTTGGGACTACAACATCCGCCTTGCTTTACAAACCCCGTGATTAGTCATCAAGCCCTGTGATTGGATGTTGGAGTGGCAGTGCGACAAGGTTACGCTGAGCGTCACAGCATCTATGAAATGGAACCACGGCAGACTTTCCAAAACTGGAATTGGACGGGTCCAGCCCCCCCCCCCCAGAACTAAACATGCTGGCTATTGTGTGTTTCGCAACATGTTCTATGGCACGTCTCTTTATAAGACGTTTTCGTATTTCCCACAATTTGAAGTTGCCAGTATTAAATTGTGTACACCCTGGAGGTTTAGGGGATACGAAACACAGTGGTGTTATCAAATTTAAAACATATAATTAATAAATGGGTGAATTAATATACCCACATGACACCTAAGGTCAGAAGAGCTTTATTTAACAGCTGGTCGTATGTCTGTGACCCCGCCTGTTGTTCATTGATAAGCCTGAAACATGCACTTGTCAAGGTTCAGAGGCAAATTTTGCAAATATGGCAGTAGCCATCGATCAGCTTAAGATAAGATATACTTTCTTGATCCCAAGTTGGAACATTTGCGTTACATCAGCATGTGTAACAGTTGTAAATATGCAGTGGTGTTTATTTGTAAATCATTTAGTATAATCACACAAATTCTGTGTTTTATATTTAACAATTCTGTGTTCTTTATTTATTGATTGTTCAATACCTGACAAGGCCGGAGATGAAATATCTACATACATCTTATAAGAGTATAATACATGATGTATAATATCAGTTAAAATAAGTGCTTCAACATAGTTAACATTGCTGGAGGTATGCACAAATATTGATAGATGTCTTGTAATGCACTATTGAGGAACCTGGGACCCAAGTTTTTCATTCAATGCATAACTACACCATAGTTGTTAGGCCTATATGATATGTCAATAAACCTTAGAAAATCTTGAAATCTTGAAAGGGATGTGCAAAATAGTAATTATATACAGTCTTTAGTGAACTATTAGTAGAGAATAACGAGTAATGAATATACTTTATAGGGATCCTATTAATATCTAATAATACAAATAATGAAATCCAATAACATGCTTTAACCACTAGGTGTCCCTTTATATCAGCTGTGCACCTTTATAGTGTAAATACAGCCTATCTACCAATTGGATCAAATATAAAAGTCAGCCGAATTAGTGTTGATACTGCAAGGAGACGTATTGTGTGAAAAGAAATGTAAGATGTTGTTTAATGGCTGATATATTTATGATCCACGTCACGTTTTCAGTTTCTCATGTTTGTCTATAAGTCTTCTCATCAGGGCTCTATAAATACAGAACTACGGCAGATATGTAATATTTAATGCAGCCGAACCATGTATTACAATGCCGTTATGTGATGACTTTCAAAGAGAAAAGCAAGCACACTCGGAATAAAGTATTATTTTATTTTTTTAAAATGTTTTCGGTCTGTTTCCGGTATTTGTTAATGACGATGTGCTGTGAGATGTGAGACTGGAATTGCACAGGGGAAAATAACGTTGGCTATCTTTAGATGCGGATTTTGTTAAACTAATATGTTTGCGCTGTGGACCAACACTATACATTGACGGGGAAGGGGGTAGCAATAAAGATAACACCATTAAACAGTTACACAACATAACAGAAATAATATCGATAGCAGCAACCACCTTGGTAACAATGAAAACGTTCTATGGACGCAATTTCCTGAAGTAATCTTCATAATAACTAGCAAACTAAAGATCATGTACATCCACTGCACACATAATCTGAAATAACAACTCATATTTCTCGCATCAAATGACATCAAAACGCATTTTAATGGCCAAACTAACTTTAAAATAGACATTTTCCACCGAGAATAAAACGAAGTTCGGCCATGTTTTTTTTTTCTGCAGGGAGAAATTTGAAGATCACGTGACATTTTGGACATTTTTTGCCAGCCATTGGTATGAATGGTGAAAAAAAACGGGGTTTGTCAAACAGAGCACATGGTGTAGTCCAAACGATAGCTGGGGATTCTGGGTAGTGTAGTGTCTTCTGCCTCCCTTTACTCCGAAAAAATATTTGTTTCTCCAAATCGAAGGGGAAAAATACAAAAGCATTGCACACGATTTAAACCAATCAATGTTGTGTAATTAACAAGGATAATCTGGTGTTTTTTAGTCAATGAGTAGTGCAGATATCACTGTAAAATCAATCGACAGTAAGGGGAATACTTACTTCCGGGTGTACAATTCTCCGTTATCCAATGAGAATGGACGCTCACATTGCCTTTAAGGGCAGCCGACACAAACGAATGCCGTGCTTTCATGAGCGTCATTACCAGTAGAAATACATTGCTTTTAAAATTGTGCTGTGCAACACGAAAAAAAGGGGGAAATCGTGTTGGTGAACACGAATCAATAGATTAAAAATCTTGTTGGTGAACACGAAATGCCATGAGACTGGGTTGCCTATTGAGCTGTTTAGAGCCATGTGGGACAAAACCCGATCCTGCCCCTCCCTCTCCCTGTTTAAGTCAATGGTGACTGTAAAAACTACAATGCGCATGCTCAGAGTATTGTCCTATTTAATGTGTGTGGCAAAAAAATAATGACCATAGGGGCATTGAGCTGCCATCCCCACCATACGTCATCTCACATAATTCAGAGCTGATTGGAGGTAAGTACGTGTGCCGCGAAAAGTGCGGTGTGTGAAGAGGAGGAGAGAGAGCTGCAGTGACGCATCCTAAAACCCGGAAGTAAGCTGCGCATGGCTTCCCTCGACCTAAAAGCAATGATATTTCTCAATAGGATTTTAGAAAATAGCTCCAAATAAGATCTGTGGGAAACAAACCTGTTAGATAAATGCACGTTTTGTTCAGCCGGATAATATCCACATGTCTACCCTACTTTTATAATTTTCGAATCATAAATCTATTGATTAGATTAGATTTATGATAGACTTTTGAAACTACAAGAAGATAAGGAGGACTTTTACAAAAAAGTAATAGAGATTTTTGTCCAGAAGGATAGGCAAATGGACTTCATCTTCATGTCAAGGTAAGACTGCAATTTTATTGAAAATGGGATCTTACTAAGAGAGAACAATTCAATATTTAAATGATACAATTAAATTTTTTGGGTATCCTTTTGTTGAACTGTCTGTTTAAAATTAATCGAAGCATCAGACAAAAAAAGCTTTTGAAAATAATATTATATTTTGATTTAGGTCAAAATATAATATTTGTAAACCTGAAGAGTCAGTGCCAGAGCCTCACCAGCCATGAACCTCACTGCAGAAGCTATAGACATCTACGTTTTTTGTGCCCCACCACTTTTGTACATATAAAAACGCCACTGCCAATGAGTATAAGTATTCAAATGGAATACTGCTTCAACTCTATGCATGCTATAATACACAACCTTTTACCCAACAGCCCATTTACTTAATTATTGCATGATTATGACAAATGATTATTTAAATGGAGTATGCTTCATGTTTTTAGATGTAATTAAAACAGGTAATATTTAAACTCACCATCAGTTTATACAATATGTATAGAGACATGAATACAACAATAAAAGCACAGCATCTTAATGCATCAATTCAGAACCATTTAGGAGAAATTACTACTTAATTTGTACCTTTACTGCAAATACAATAGTACATATAAAGTAGTATAGTTAATTCCCGAGTACTTTTCCAGCATTTTTCCTTGTCATTTTAAAATTTCGAGATGGGTGATGACTACATCCTGGACCTTCAGAGTAAGAAATCATGCTTTTGTTTAACTGTTTATTTGTAGGAAGTAAAAGCTTATCCGCAGTGCTTATGATGTCTTTATTTTATCTCTAAAGAATACTGGGACCTGATGAATGAGGAGGAGAAGACCGACATTGTCCCTGAGGTTTGGGAGGGCCACAACATCGCAGATTACATCGATCCTGAAATCATGAAGGTGAGTCTTGAGTTTTTCTACAGGTGTAGTTTTAGTTTCCCTTTTTAAATAAAATATATTTGACTTGAGTAAATACAATGTCAAAATAGTTAATCACGAGTAAAAATCCTCCATTTTAAAATGTTTATCAAGAACATACGTATTAGCATCCACTTATTCCCAAAGCTAAACCCATGGGACCTTATTTCGGAAAAACAAAACATTAAATAAGGGATCTAAATAAAAAAAGACTCCCTGAAAAGTTAAAGGCACCAAAGCACACCTTAGTGTTTTATAGGGGAGAACATGCAAAGTGTGAACTCTGGTGGGGAATTTAAAATCTGCAACTAGCTCACAGTGAGCAGGATGGAAGATTAAAGTTCATTTGAAGCCACGTTGAACATTAACCCAATGAGTATAAGTATTCAAATGGAATACTGCTTCAACTCTATGCATGCTATAATACACAACCTTTTACCCAACAGGCCATTTACTTAATTACTGCATCATTATGAGATTATTTAAATGGAGTATGCTTCATGTTTTAGATGCAGAATGTAATTAAAACAGGTAATATTTAAACTCACCATCAGTTTATACAATATGTATAGAGACATGAATACAACAATAAAAGCACAGCATCTTAATGCATCAATTCAGAACCATTTAGGAGAAATTACTACTTCATTTGTACCTTTACTGCAAATAATATAGTATATATATATATATATATATTTAGTAGTATAGTGAATGCCTGAGTACTTTTCCAGCATTTTTCCTTGTCATTTTAAAAGGAAATCTACATTTTCCTGAACAAATAATGCCGGAATGATGATTTGCTAAATCTTTAAACTAACTGCATCACAAGGGCCAACCACTCTTTGCATTTACCAAAACAACAGTTGTCTAGTATCTGAGGATTACCTCTTTTCCTCTCAATAACTTCTTAAACTCACAACATCTCAGCAGTGTTTCCAATGGGAGCATAAAGATGAAGTCCTGCATAGAGAGGCTGAGTGAAGGTGGTCTTGATTCTGAGCAGGAGGGTCATGGTTTCCTCTGAGACGCTGTAGAAAGACAGAATACCTGCACTGTGATCCAGGTAAACTCCGACCCTGGAGGTCTGAGGACCTGGGATGGGAGCTTGGTGTTTCTTATGTCTGAAATCATAACGACCTTTGTAAAAACCTAATGCCCACGACTTTTCACTCTCTCCAAATTGTTCATTTACAGTGTCATTGTCTTTGTATGCTACAGCCACTGCAATTCCTCCCATACCTTTCTCCACCTCCCAGTAACAACGTCCAGGCAGACTCTCTTCACTCAGGACCTGAGGGTATGTAGTGAATCTTTCTGGGTGACTAGGATAACTTTCTCCTAGCGTTGAAGTTACTTTTCGGTTCCTCTCAGAAAAGTACAGACGTGTGTTTGCTGTGTTTGGATCCAGAGTGATTTGATGTGAGTATTTTAAGAATCCAGCTCTGGTCTGGGGCTGTGGTTGTGACAGCAACATGTCCACATCACCCACTGTCAGATACACCTTTGTCCATTTATCTCTCAGGACGTCCAGTAGTTTATCTCTGAATTTTGACAAAGCTGCTTTCACATCTTCAAGGTATGGCAGAGGAAGGATGCTGGAGGAGTGTGTAGCTTCACTGAGGGCTGGCAGTGAGGGGTAGCTGTGCAGAAACTGGTTGTGATCCTCTGTGTGAGACAGCAGCTCCAGTGCAGCGTCTCTCCTCTTCAGCTCAGAGATCTCCTGCTTCAGCTTCTCCTGGAGCTCTTTGACTCGACTCACTTCTCTCTTCTGCTGGGATCTGACCTGCTGCTTCACATCAGAGCTTCTTTTCTCCATGAGACGGTTCAGCTCAGTGAACATCTTCTCACTGTCCTCCACTGCTTTATCAGCAGAGCCATTGACGGCCTTCACATCCTGCTGAAGCAGCTTCACCTCCTTCTCTCTGTCCTGAATTCTCTGCTGGATGTTTAGTCGACTCCCCTCCAGCTCTCTCTGCCTCTCAGTCCTCTCTGCTGCAGCTGACACTGTGTCGTGGCCTTTGTGTTCGTCCACAGAGCAGAGATAACAGATAAACTGCTGATCAGTGCGGCAGAACATCTTCATCACCTCGTCGTGACGAGAGCAGATGTTCTCCTGGAGCTTCTTGGAGGGCTCCACAAGCTTGTGTTTTCTAAAGGCAGGAGACTCATAGTGAGGCTGGAGGTGTTTCTCACAGTAAGAGATCAAACATTGCAGACAGGACTTACAGGCTCTCAGTTTTCTCCCAGTGCAGACATCACAGGCCACATCTTCAGCTCCAGCATAGCAGAGATCAGCAGGAGCTTCTTCAAGTCCAGTCTTCTTCTGTTTCTCCATTAAATCTGCTAACATGATGCTTTTCAGCAGGACAGGCCTCGATGTGAAGCTCCTTCTACACTGAGGGCAGCTGTAGACTTCCTTATCATCCTCTTTGTCCCAGTGGGTTTGAATACAATTCATGCAGAAACTGTGTCCACAGGAAGTAGTCGCAGGCTCCTTAAGTACATCCAGACATATCGAACAGCAAATTGCGTCCTGGTCCAGCTGAGCTCCTTCTTGCAACATTATACCTCCCTTACAGCGAGTGACAGTCTGCTGTTGATATAGTCTGCCAGCTCACTCACTTCACAATGACTCACAGTTTCACCTACATTGAAACTTAAGTTCAGTGAAGGGGAGGGAACAAGTGATTATCTGTGTGATATGCAGGAAGTAGGACGGGCTTACACGCTTAACTTCATTCCAGCAAGAGGAGCGGTTTTATAAGATACAGGGTTCAAGGATTCAAGATTTCAAGGCTTTTATTGTTATTCGTACATAGCAACAGTGTAGTTATGTCGATGGAAATCTTAGGTCACATGCTCCTCCAACAGTGCAACACAATAAAACAAGATAACAGGGTGTGTTTAGTACTCCTTATTCGCGGAATCAAGCACATTGTGACAACAGGACTTTGTGCTGACTGAATGACGATACATCTGCCAAATAAATTAAGTTGAACAAAAGGAAAAATATTTCCCTTTGTAATGTAGTGGAGTATAAGTATAGGACAGTATAACACAAAATACTTTTTATCCTTTTTGTAATACCAAGAACTGTACTAGACTAAATGTTCTTAGTAACTTTTCAACTCGTATGTAATGTACGGTAAAATTAACTGTGTTTTATTTATTGTTACATTTTATTTGTATTGAATAACTTTGTATTTTTGATAGTAAAAGCCAGAATGAAATACAAAAATGTATATTAAAGAAAGAGGAAGATTATTCCAATCAAAAGGAGCTTTGTATGGTGTTCGGGTCAAATTGGCCCGATTTCCATTTTCAATGAATAAAAAAATATATAAGGATATTTTCGTTCAACCTGAAACTCAATGGCCGGGGCTTATTTAGTGTGAAGGACATGTGGAATTGTTTTTATTTGTTTCCACTTGTGAAAAAATGCCCACCCGCATTTATGTCCTTCGGGTCAATCTGACCTGGATACAATACTAGGACAGACAGACAGAGAAAAACACACAGAAACACACAAACTAAAGACACACACACACACACACACACACACACACACACACACACACACACACACACACACACACACACACACACACACACACACACACACACACACACACACACACACACACACACACAAACACACAAACTAAAGACACACACACACACAAACTAAAGACACACACACACACACAAACACACAAACTAAAGACACACACATACATACATACACACACGCGCACACGCGCACACACACACACACACACACACACACACACACACACACACACACACACACACACACACACACACACACATAGAGAAGCTGTTTGATCCTGTTTTCCCTTGATCTTTACCCTTTGTAGTGTGTACACAAAACTATCCTAGAACATTATAAACATTTTAGATCTTCCAGAAATGTATAAACATTTTACATTTTCTCGCACTGTCCCCCCTCGCACCTGCACGCCGGAGGAGGGACTAAACAGAGACATAACCTCAGTGTAGTAACAGTGTAGTGCAGAACTACAATCATCTACCAACAAAATGGCCAAAACATATTCTGCTCAGAGCCTTGGAGCTAATAATGGATGAGAGTGAGTGGAATGCATTAGAGGAACACGGTGAAGTGGAACAGGAAGACATTTCTGAAGATGAGGATAATGTGGAGGTAAACTCAGAATTTGACAGCAAATTGGAAGATGAACTTAACTCAGAGCCAGCTGCTGGAAGACCCCCACAGCCAGCCGCAAGAAGACCCCCGCAGCCAGCCAGCCAGCTGTGTGGTCTGTGGACCCTCAAAGGACTCAAAGACACAGACTACATGCAGCAACTGCAACAAGTACATCTGTGCATCATGTGTTTCCTAAACAGACTAGCCCATTGACTCACATGATGTTCTGCAGCGTCAATTCATCAATATATTTTTCGGATATATTGCATTTTATGAATAGTGACTGTTAATTGTTTTTATTTGCTTTGTGTTTATATCTGTTCTATGTAATTTATATGGATGTTTCATTCCCTCTATATTTCACAGCCAAATACTTTTGGATGTGTGGTTCTTGTGTTACAATTGCTGATAAATTGCTTTATTTCCTTCAGGGCTTTGATTATAATATGACAGATTAAAAATAATAAACATGAATTAAAACTACGGTCGCACTTGTGCGCGCAGTGATGAGCGGGCCCTCGCGTCCGTGCGCCTGTCGGGGAGGGCAGCCGGTCGTCCCGGCGTCAAGCAGACGCGCGCGAGTCCTCGGAAATGAGCCGTTTCTCATTTCTATAATTTTCACGTCCCAGACTCCCAGGTCCTCCGGCAGCGACCCGGAAACGGATGTCGGCGCGCCGTCTCGAAGGAAAACAAATTTCTCTAAAGGCTCGTCGAGGATCGATTATCGAGGAGGCTGTCTGGAGGAGCCGTAACCGAGGATACACTGATTTAGAGGAAAGAGGAGAGAGGAGTGTCTCTAGAGGAGCTATAACCGAGGGTACACTGAAGTATTCTCCTGAGACGATTTCAGCCAACAGTGATGTTTAAAAGAGGTGTGACGCATGGCTGGACTTCTGTCAACGAAGCACAGCTCTGCAAACTGTTCCCGTTGTGATTATAAGTTATTTGAGATGATCAAATGTGCATCAGACTTTCTGCCCTTTACCGTTTGTTTACTCACTAATCACATGTCCCCTGGATGTTAGGTGATGTTTACAGTGAGAACAGCTGCTGAGGTCAGTGCAGAAAGCAGAACAGTGTGTGTATAATATATATTGCTCAATAATAAATGTAACAGGCCTACATTTCACACTTTATTTGTAGGCTTTAGGAGATATCTACAAATAAACAGTAGGGTTAGGGTTAGGGAGTGTATAGGTGTCTGTTGTAATGAATATGCCGCCAGCAAAGGGTGTTGTTGGACTAATAGTAGGTGTGTGTGTGTGTGTGTGTGTGTGTGTGTGTGTGTGTGTGTGCGTGTGTGTGTGTGTGTGTGTGTGTGTGTGTGTGTGTGTGTGTGTGTGTGTGTGTGTGTGTGTGTGTGTGTGTGTGTATGTGCCAGGCAGACAGGCAGGCCTCAGTAGCTTATCTGACATATAATTGGTCAAAAATGGTACATTCTCCGTTAGCCTACGAGCTCCCCGTTTGAGCGAAGGACTATTCCTTCTCAATGTAGCATGACATTGGATATGCGCTGAAGTTGTCCTGGAATGGAATTTTTCCGATCATTCTCCTATGAGGAGTTTGCAGAAATGTCCTTAAAATGCATGAAAAACGCACATTTTTCAAAATGGCCGACTTTGTCAGAGGCGGGGCTAATAAAAGCCAATTTGAAATATGTCCGCAATCATAAGAGCAATGTGTATACAGTTTTTCGTGAATATCGGAATAACTATATCCGAGTAGTTTGGAGTAATTTGCGACATGTAAATCGTCAAAAATGGTGTATTCGCTGTTAGCTTACGACCTCCACGATTGAGCTATCAAAAATGTTCTTCTCAATTTAGCATCATATTGGATAGGGGCTGAACTTGTCCTGGATTTGAATTTGTCTGATCATTCCCCTAGGACAGTGTTTCTCAAACTTTTTCATACCAAGGACCACTTAACCAATAAAAAAACACTCACGGACCACCTAATTCCACAAATATCCAAAAACACATCGTTTTTTACAAATCGCCTGAAAATGGTACAAACAAGTGGCCACATGTGTGATGAAGGTGTTTATCTGGGCTATATCATGCAATCGAAAGTGAAACTTAAGCTCGCTCCATTGCGGAGATATTCCCGCGAGAGTGCGGAAAACTTAAATTAATTTATTTATTTCAAATGTGAAATGTTACCAATATACTCACGGACCACTAGGGGGCGCTCACGGACCACCAGTGGTCCGTGGACAACACTTTGAGAAGCACTGCGGGCCTAGGAGGAGTTCGCAAGAATGTGCTTAAAATGCATGAAAAACGCAATTTTTTCAAAATGGCCGACTTCCTGGGGGGTGGGGCTAATAGAAGGCAATTTGAAAGATGTGTGCAATCATAATAGTAATGTGTATACAGCGTTTCGTGAATATCGGAAAAACTATATGCGAGCAGTTTGGAGCAATTTGCGCCATGTAAATCGTCAAAAATGGTGTATTGTTAGCTTACGACCTCCACGAGTGATTTTTCAAAAATGTGCTCCGCAATTAATTATCATATTGGATAGGGGCTGAACTTGTCCTGCATTGGAATTTTTACGATCATTCCCCTAGGAGGAGTTTGCAAGAATGTGCTGAAAATGCATGAAAAACGCAAATATTTCAAAATGGCCGACTTCCTGGGGGGCAGGGCTAATTGAAAGCAATTTGAAATATGTGTGCAATCATAATAGCAATATATATACAGCGTTTCGTGAATATCGGAATAACTATATCGGAGTAGTTTGGAGTAATTTGCGACATGTAAATCGTCAAAAATGGTGTATTCGCTGTTAGCTTACGACCTCCACGATTGAGTTATCAAAAATGTTCTTCTCAATTAAGTATCATATTGGATAGGGGCTAAACTTGTCCTGGATTGGAATTTTTCCGATCATTCCCCTAGGAGGAGTTTGCAGGAATGTGCTTAAAATGGCGGAAAAACGCAAATGTTTAAAGATGGCCGACTTCCTGGGGGCGGAGCTAATGGAATCTATTTACAAATATGTCCGCAATTCTATGAGGAATGTCTTTGCCAAAATTCGTGAAGTTCTGAGAAACTATATGTGACTACCACACAATAGGGGGCCCTAGTGAGCATTTTTTTTTGAAAATGTACGTTTTTTTTTACATTCTCGAAAAGGTCGTGGGCTCTGACGTGTGTCCCAAGTTTTGCGTCCGAAGCTCATTTTATGCTATCGCAATTTAAAAAAAAATTATAGACCACGCCCACATTCTGCATTTGTTGCGACACTTTAAATCTGAGTTCGTAGTCGCCCCGAGAGTATGTGTGTAAAAAAAAAAAAAAAAAAGATTAGTCCATCCGCTCTTGAGTTATAAATTGGTGGTGTTTTTGGCGCCCCCTATAGTCCAAAATGATTATGCTTTGGTGTGCCTATTCCCCAAGACA